AGCTATCCCCTTTTTAATGTAGTGTAGCACACCTCTTTCTTGTTTTTCGATTTTTTGCCTAGAAATGGTATTTCTTTCTTTCATTTTTTATCATTTTTCACTTTCTTGGCAATTCCCTGTTTTTGTTTTTTTTTTTTTCACCAATTCTTCATTGAACAGTAGCCACCATCTTCTTTTCTATTTTTCTTGCCTTTCTATGTCATACCGATTTATAAGAGGGTGCAAAAAATGGATAGCAAGGTATTTTAAGTGTATTTTCTTGTGGCTCGGTTATCATATGGATTTTTTTCAAAAATAAATCCTCATTCATTGAAGGCTTAAACATGACTAACTAGGGATATAATTTCGTAGAAGCAATGGCTAAGGCTCAAAATCAACTCAAAGATGGCCTAAAATCCTTTCTCAAGTATGTGCCTATGTATGTGTCGCATGCAAAGGTTCCCTGTGGGATATGTCAATAGATTACTTTAGTTGCATTTAATCAAAGCAAGTTTAATGAGATTATTCAACAATTGAAAGTAAAAGAGCTTACTTGAGTAAATGTTGATTGTCCCTCAGAAAGTATCGCAAGGCTCAAAACTTACCATGGTATTCTTCGTTATCCCCACTGGTTATGTCAGATTTCCAAAGAATGTCAGTTATATTATAATTCTATTTTCGAGTCTGGTTATTTTGTACCTTAAGATTAACAAATATCAATGTACATTTGACATTTAAGCATAGAGAAAATACCATTTTTCAAGGAAATGCGGCTTTTTTTTTCACTCAAATAAAAATCAAAGTTATTTACATACACATTTATCTATGAAAATTAAAAAAAAACTAAATGCACACATTGAACTTGGAAAACTATGGCGTCTCAGGATAAATCCCTACCTACGCTATAGGTTGGCATTTTAGGACAATTCTTACTCCGCCCACATATTTATTTCAATAAAAAGACTTTGTACATAAACAAATATTTACACAAAAAAAATTCGGACCATTAACCTTCATCCCCAAAACACATTTTTTCACAGCTTTGTCATTATTAGTCAAAATTTAATCCGAGTCATCGCTTGTGTCTATGTCATTATTAGTGACCCTTCCCACTTCTTATCGCACATAACGTGTAAGTCCTGGACTGGTATAAGATGGCATGTCATGAAAATCCTTACTCTGCCCATACACTATCCAGTTTAATCGATCAGTTGCACAACCCGAAATTGGTTTAGAACACTAATTGTATTTTTTCATGTGAAAGCACCTACCACATTGTTTACAAGCACCTAGCCGTTTGGCACGACGACGTTTAGCAAAAGTACTTNAATTGTATTTTTTCATGTGAAAGCACCTACCACATTGTTTACAAGCACCTAGCTGTTTGGCACGACGACGTTTAGCAAAAGTACTTTTGCCACACAATGGTTTTGCTTGTGCTTCTCGGATTTCAATTTTTCTGACTACTCTTGCTTTTCTCATGATCACAGCATGCACATCAGATGGAAATGTGCACAAGACTCCCAAACTAAACCAAAAAATTTTAACATCCATGCTTTCTATGCTTTAAGACTCACTATCTGGTTCTTTAACGTCTGCCAGTCACAAAGACGATTGACGCTGCATTTGATGTGATCATGAAATATAAGCAAAAATGATGTAAAAATATGCAATCCAGAACAATCTTTTTTTTTTTTAAAATACGAAACTGTAACAAACTGGAATCGTAGATCACACCCCCCAACCTAAACCGAACATTGTCCCTAATGTTTCAAATTTACCAGTGTGTGGAGTTTGGAGATCAAGTTGTAGGGTAGAGATCTATTCCACTGTCGAAACCTACAAAGAAAATACACAAATTAATCTTCTCTACGCAGATCTGGGTTTTCGCTAAGAAGAAAATCCTTGATTTTAAATGCAAACAGAAGAAGAAGAGTCATGTACAAATAGAGTTAACAAATGCCAATCATGAGACAAACGAATGGGTCTTCGGGGAATATGGTCATGGGATTGTTGGGAGTTGTGTCGTGTTATAGAGAATAGCACAACAGAAATAAGAAAAGGCGGTGGGTGTAGAGATTTTTTTTAACTGCCGAAATCAATAAACAAAACACAACAATTAACCAATTCGAGAGAGATTTGGGTTAGGCTGAAAACCCCTCACCCAAAGTGTGAGCAGAAAAAGAGCACCCATGAACAAATTCAAACATATAAGGCAAATTATTAAACAAAGGATTGGGTTGTTGGCGTATATGATCATGGATTTGCAGGGGGTGGGTTGTTTTTACAGAGAACAGAGAGAACGATGAAGAAGAAGAAGAAGAAAAGAGGAAGAAAGATGAAAAAAGAAGGGAAGAAGAAGGGTAGACCAATCACCGGTGAATGGAAGAAAAAAAATTTTGAAAACCTTATAAAGGCATCCCATTTATTTATTTATTTATTTATTTTTTTGAGTGTCGGCAGCCGCATATCCGTGCAGAATATTGCCACTTTTTTTTTTTTGTGCCGACAAGCGCGAGTGTCGATAGACGCGAATATCCGCGCGAAATATTTCCCACAAACATTGGTGTAAGATGCAAATAGTGCAACCTCACCCCCTCCCCCCAAACTTGATTCATGTATTGTCCTCAATGAAACAGGAAAAAAAAAGTATGATATTCAATGATGGATAGTAAAAAGATTAGTAGGGTTAGAAAACACCTCGCACTTGAGCTTTGACAAAAACATCAATATCTGCAATTAAGAAGAACAAAACTATACGACAAAAGAACATAATTAACATGGAATNAATTAAGAAGAACAAAACTATACGACAAAAGAACATAATTAACATGGAATAAAAATTAAGTAAGTAAA